GGGTTCCTTAGCGAGTATTCCGGCATGGCGATGACGGTCTGCAGCAAACGGAGCTTCGTTTGAACGACCAGATCTACAAAAATACCCGGCTCAAGGCGGCAAACGAGTAGGACTTAGTTGCTTTACAAATGCGCCCACGTTCTCTCGTTGAACATCTGTTGCAAAGAAACTAGCACTTGGTGTCTCATCCTCAGAAAGTGCCAGACACTCGCGTAATATGCTGCAAAACATATTATCCCTTCTTACGTAGTTTTCTCTGATGTAGGGAAAGAGAAGCTGAACTCAAATCAAAGCAGGAGGAGATCGAGAAAATGCGAACGGAGAAAGTGAGTCACAGGCGACTCGATGTTGAGGCGCTACAGATATAGCGTTCTCAGATATTCTGGGTAGACTCACTTGGCCTCATTTTCCGTTGCACCGTAGGTTTCTGCCGTTTTCTGAACAAGTTGAAGCGCTTCATTGCCTGATATGTAGAACTGCATTCGCAGGAGCGTGTTGTCAAGCTGCATGAAGTGCTAAAGAAGAAAATGCAGATCCTCGAAGGCGACAAGCGGACTTTGGATGAACAGGCAACAGGTCCGCTATGTTAATATTTGCTACTCCAGAAATTGGCTTGATTCTGCTTAACTGAGTCCAGCGGAAACGGCAGTGGGCACTTTGCACGCGAACCTTGCAGAAGCCTCAACCGCGGCGCCAGCTTTTGATAAGTGCGCATCCCTCGTGCTCGAAATGTGCAGCTCTGAAGCTAGAAACGGCGGCCTCGGAGAGAGAAATAGATACGCTGAAGCAACAGGTACAAACGCTGCCGCTGAATTTTCTCCTGGGTTCACTAGAATAAACCAATTCGAAAGTGTAACGTTGTTGCTCGTGGAAATGCGATCGTCCGCCTCGACGGCTATATGCTTCTTATACCTTGAGCTTCGCACTGTGCGTGTATCCAATGAGATCCGCCTTTTTAAGTGATTGTAGCCACAAAACCTCGTATTGTTGGTTTCAAATGCAGGCTGAGAATGATAAGCGGCAAATCGAATCACTGCTCCGCGAGAGGTGACTAACTGGTGGACAAAGTAATGCGGTTTTCGGTCGTTGCCTATACGGTCGCTGTTGGTTGGTGTGCTGTTCAGGCTTGCACCAAACACTGCATGATCTGATGTTACTGCACCGTAGCAACCCTAGATGTAGGTGTTGAGGATACTTCGCCGTAGTGGCCAGTGCTCCCTCATCAAGCGCTTCACCTTGCTGGTAGTTTTGCAATGTGCAAAGGGATTTACTATCTAAGAACCTTTTAAACGCGGACGCCACTGCAAAGAAGCATGCGGATCATGCCAAGAGACAGCTGACGCATTGCGAGCACCTTGAAAAAGAAGTTGATGGGTCAGTATCTCCTGAGGGAACAGGGGTATATTCGTTGTGACAATTCTAGTCAAGCTGTGTGCCTGCTTTTATCAGCAACCCTGTATTTTGCCCTTGTTGAGGAATTCATCTGCATTTCGCCCGATAAGCAACATCTTGAAGGTTTACTTTACATTTGCGTGGTGCTGCTGCTCTTCGCCTAGGTTCCGACGCGAATGCCAACAACTGCAGCAGAAAGTCGAAACTCTTGAAGCAGAAAGGGATCGTTATGGACACACTCTAAACAAGAGCAACCAGAAGTATGGCATCGTCAATGCTCGCCTCATTAGTTTCCGTGGCATAATTTATTACGGCACTGTTGAGGTGTTCTCTGTCGTTACGCCATAGTAATTCTTTGAGCAGGCCGGTCTAGTGTACAACTTAGGCGCTGCAGTAGTGGGTTTATCAGTGTCAGCGTGGTTTTTTGCAATTGTCTCTAGGTACCTAGAGAGCCTCGAGCAGCTCAAGAATGAAGAGCTCAGAGTGGCCGATTTGCAGCGCTCCATTGGAGAGCAGCAGGCAAAACTTGCTGCACAAAAAACCCTGTACGAGGCTGTGAGATCAGACAGGAACCTCTTTTCAAGGAATCTGATTGCAAGCCTTGACGAGATGACTGAGCTGAAGCAGTAAGCAACTGACCTAATTTCTGAGTTAGAAAGAATCAAGGTAGCGTTCTCGTAATCTCGCAGCGTAAAGCCATGCTCGGCGCAAGGAATACTGCCACGCTCACTGGGCGTTTTGTCCCGATGCTATTAAGTCCAGATATGCACAACCTCTACGCTTACGGAATGGGTATTAAACCGTCTCTCTTTAGGCTTTTTTTGTCCGCTGTAGTAAGTTCAAACTCATGTTTCAGCAAGTCGGCCAGCTTAAGGAAGAGATAAAGACGAAAGATGCCGGACTTCTGAAACAACATTTCGAGCACAGAAGGATTACGTCCGAAAACGAAAAGCTGAAGGATGACCTGGGCAAGGCGGAGAAGAAGCTTAGCTCCCTTGAGCAAATCATTGCTGCGCAAAAGCACGTTTGATGCACATTTGTTAGCAGCAACGCTGCACACGCCCACTCTAGAAATGACGATGTTAAGCACGAAGGCATCGAACCTACCCATTGTTTGCTGGCGTCTGCATTGAAGCATAACTTTCACACTAGGTGCTGAGGTCCGCAGACGAGAAATCAAAAAGCTGGAAGAGACGATGCAGGAAGCAACGGCTGAAAAGGCTAACCAGGGAAAGGAATTCTCAGCGGTGGGCAGCAGAGTTGCCAGCAAGGAGAGCAGTGTCACCCCTCTTTTCTCATGTTGCTGGCGCTCTCAGCAAGCAAGATATCGACCTCGCTTCGCTATTGGGCATTGCAGCTGCGCTGTCTGAGTGAGCGGCTTTGCTCAGATATTGGCAGAGAGGGACATGCTGGGGACTCAACTGCTCAAGCGAAATCAAGAGCTATCCCTTCTTTACGAAAAAGTTAGGATCCAGGAATCGACGCTGGCAAAGGGAGAAGCCCAATACAAAGTACATGGCTATATTGATAAAGCTCGAAGATGCAGGATATTGTCGCTACATACGACGAGATACAAAGGAGACACAAGCGCCCGATTTTAGTTCCCGCGCATTGTTTTTCGGGCACGTAGTTTCTGTATTTGTGGTAAACATCCTGGGTTGGGGAGGCCTGACTTCAGTGTTGATATCTGGGATTCTTGATCATATATTCAGGAAAGGTTGAAGGAAATTAAGGAGTGGAGCAGGCAGTGCTTGGCGTTTAGGCGGGAGCTCCGCAACCTTGAGGGAGGTGTTGCTGAAGTCGAGTCACTTAAGCGGGAAATTCTGCAGCTACAGAAAGAGTTGCTGCAAGGTGCAGCTCTGGCAAGCCAATATTGTTGATATTTTTGTTCAACTGGAAACGATGCTTAGNCACTTTCGCACACACACATAAAACAGCCACGATTCTGCCGTTGGCATTTGAGCTGTGCAATATGCAGAGAGGACGAAGGTGAGGGCATTAACCGAGGCCCTGGCAACGCCGATGAACGTGCACAGGTGGAGACGACTCGAAGGGACAGACCCTGCCAAAGTTGAACTGGTAAAAAAAATCCAGTCTTTGCAAAAGCGACTGATTGCCAAGACTGAGGAGGTGCGCAGTGTTCCCACTTCACGGTCTCTGCTGAGAAGGAGCCTGCATTAGTTATGCCTTATGCCTTGCACAGTGTGCCACGCATTGTATGTGATCCTGTCTGTTTTTTAATGGAGCAGGTTATTGAGAGGGACCTGCAAATTCAGGAAAGGGAGAAACTTTTTGTGCAGCTAAAGGTAGACTCAATACTGACGGACAAACTGCAATAGCAGCAAGCACAGCTGAGCCACATCGCGCAGACGTGCGAAGCTGGTAAATAAGGAGAATATCTGTTTTGCAGCGTCTTTCATTTGCTTAGACAACTTTAAACAAGCAACCGGGAGCTGAGGTTTTCGCTAAAATGCAAACTCTCCAAACGGTAAGAGTATTCCTGTAGGGCCAGATGCAGGTGGCGCTACATCAATCGATAACAGGGGGTTTAGAATGTTTTCACTTACCCGCAGGATGTGCGCACCAAAACAAAACAACTCCGGGCAGCTGTTTCCGAGCTCCAAGTTCTACACAAGGAGGTGAGGAGCCACTCACTTGTGGCCAAACCTTCGTAGGCACGATGCACCACTGCTGTCTACAGTAGTCTCAGAAGAGGGGCCAACTTCAATGCACGTGCAACTGCAGCAATGCTTAGCCGTGGACGACGTAATATTATCGCTACAACATTGACATACNTGCAAGACGATTACATATTTATTTTTGTCCTAGCGTCTTCCGCCTGCGTTGCAGGTTACATCGAAGAGGGACGAGATTGAAAGACTGCACAAAGAGCTCGAGGTCTCTGCGCATGATCACAATCTGCAAGCCTTAGTTGATGATTTAAATAGGTGGTTTTCCCCGAAACTGTGACCAGAGCTTGCTTGCCGTGTACTGTGCTTGCAGTCTGTGAAATTTTCCTACATCGAAGAGAAGAGGAACGAAGCTCGGGAACAGCAGAAGCAGCAGCAGTTGCAGCAGCAGACGGTTAGTGCCCTGCGTCAACCGCATTCAAGCCACCAAATGTGCATGAATGACTGTTGCGTCACCCTTATGAGATACAGCTGGGTATTCTTTCTCCTGCACCTAGCAAATATTTGTGTTGTGCCAAGTGTATCAGAGCTCTTAGCGTAGTAGCTATTCTTCGCCTGTTATGATGCAGACGGGAGAGGTATCAAGGACAGACACCTTTTTTTCCTCCAGCACGTTCGAATTCCTCACCGGAAATTTCTCAAGCGTTCAAAATTGAGTTCACTCCCTAGCATCTGATATCGGCCAAGTGACAGGCGTGCAGAGCCTCAAGTGCTGTTTCGTCACTTGAAAGCATGTGCAGCAGGGCACAGCAAGGGGAGCCTTGCACTTGTAAAAGCTGCAACCGACGCAGCGCTTCTAAATGGAAAGTAGTGTCGGCAGCCATTGTCAACTCGTTCTCTTCACTGCAACGACTCTTTTTACAACAGAGTTCATCTTTTAACACAGTTTAGCTAGTATGTGATGCACTCACGGCGGAAGCGGGCAAGCATTAAGATGTCCCTGGAGAGGTGGCGTGTTGGGATTAGAAATGCCACTGCCGCCGACTAAGGCATGACAGGCACTCCGAAGGCGCACACTCTCGTTTTCCTACAACTGTTCCTTAGCACAAAAAGTGCCAAAAGTTTTGACTAGGTTCAGGGCACCCCAACCTTTCACTCGGTTAGTCGCTGCATCGGTGAGCGGCGGGGTGTTGAATGCCGTGAATGCACTACAGCGGGCGCCTGTGTGGTTACCTTTTCGATTGTTATGGGTTAGAAATCTGAAACATAATGGAGGTCAACCTTAGTCTTTTTATACTTTTTTATAGAGCTTACCGAGGGGAAACATTCCATTCGAAATGTCAAGCTAACTAGCAAACTCAAGTGATGNGAAAGGCCCTGTTTGTTCATTGACTTTCAAATCGTAAGCATTAAGTTTCTAGGGTCTTAGTCCAGGTAAACGTTTGTGAAAGATGGAACTAGCCTGAGCGCATGCCAGTGGTCACCGCGTTTAGGACTACCTGGACGCCGCAGGTAGCCACGCCAGCGCTACATTCAGCGCACCAACTAACCCATTGGAGCATCAACAAACTGATTTTCGAACGCTTTACTTGAAGTTTTACAATTCCTCTTCTTATACTTCACTGTCTCCTGGCATCCAAATAGAATATCGACGCATAAAATGGCGTAAGTTACGGCGACAGCCAGTGACCTGCTTGCACTAGCTGTATCGACCGAGTAGTTCAGCTGCGATTCAGAGTAGGATGCAGGTGGTTTTTTTGGATGGTCTGTCAACTTACCGTAACATTCAACCACAAATAAGGGAGATTCTGTAGCAACAAGGTTTTCTTTAGGGACAGGTTCGAGACCGTTGTGGCTCGCCCGTAGCCCTGGGTACTGTAGCAGTTTATATATACAACTCCCCGTCCAAAACAGGCATGGTGAATATACTGCTCATCAGAGTAGTGTTAGTATTACCGCCTGCTGGTATCCTCTGTCGTGTGCGTGCGTGTTTTTACAGACGTCTTGTCTACGGAAGACCACTATGGTTGAAGAGAGGCCTACTTGGCCTTTTGCTGCTCCTGCCAGCCTGTTTTACCGACGGGCAGATGTATCAAAGAGTAAATCCGTACAGTACAGCTGCAAGCGGCCTGCAATACAGGGGTGGGTATCCTGCAGCCCAGCCCTATTGGTCCGGTAGACGGTGGAATTCCGTACAGCAGCTGTCAAATGCACTAAGATCTCGCGAAGGCCAGAGATATGCCTCAGCTGGAACTCCCGAGCAAAGCGCGCAACTGCAGATGGCCAACTCGCAAAATTTTGCCAATCCCACAGCTAGCGCTTCATCTCAAGTGGGCAGCTACCAAACAATGCTACGAAACGGAACGGCTGCCTATCAAACACCGATGGCCCCATATGAGGGCAGGAGCATGGCCCCCACTCACCCCGGAGTCAACAGCGCAGCCCAACCGCAGTACAGCGAGGCATTTAACCCACAGGTTGATCCAGAGGGGACGAGGCAATCCGTCCAGACTTCTGGAACAGGACCTTTGCCTTCACCCGGCAGCGCGAGCAACGGGCCTACCTCCCAGTACAACGGTGGCGTCGCTGCAAACCGCTTTAATGGGGGGCGTCCTATGACAAGCCGTCCTGCTGATGCGAACATCAGGTATCCTGGCAGTGGCAGATATACCCAGTCAGGGCGGACCATAAGTAGCTTTTCGGGAATCGCATCAGGTGATCCTTACAGCTCCTACTTTTCTCAAAGGAGACAAGGGAACCAACCAACGTCAGACCAGGCTGGGAGCGGGGATGCAGAGAGCAGCTCTGCTGGCTCTACCACGGAGGGGGAGACGCAACCAACTGAAACTGAAGAGGGAGAATCTGCTGAAGCGGGAAGCTCAGGCAGAATAGGAGGGAGGAGGGTAATGAATCCGTATGATCTCTCCCACATTTTCCCAGATATATACCAGGAAGAACAGCCAGCTTCATACGAGAATATGACTAGCCAAAGTCTTGCCTTGTTGGAGATGACCACTATCAACTCTGGCAATGACGAGGAGTAAGCAGCGCCTTGCAAATCGTTTAATTGCGTGCTGAGGTGGGGCGAGGAAAGCAGTAATGTAGCGGGAACCATGACTTCCCTGTTGCAACTAAATGATTTTTCGAGGATATCAGCTCCACTGGGCACTTAACAAAAGGGTAGCAGCCGGCCTGGCCGGAAGCCGCTGAATGCAAACCACTTCTACAATGCGGTGGAAAAGTCCCGCTAAGCTTTTCAAAACAGGACACCGCGCACAAATGCCTTCATAGAAGCTGAAAGGTATGCTGTTTGGCCTGGCAAGGTTCCAACAATCGCGGATGAATGGCCACCATCGTTCTGCAGCATGCCATTCTGCCTTTGCATGACTTTTTAGAACTAATTTTTAAAAAGATTTGGACTACATAGATGCTTTGCCCTCCGTATCATCAGGTTGCTAATGGGTAGCAAGCATGGCTCCTACGGGAGTTGCTGAGTCGCCAAGCGTACCTGATACCTATTCGCGTTACAACGTACTACCCATCCACAGGCTTCCAGGGATATCATTTTAGCCAGTGTTCGCTGACAGCAGCGAGAACACTATCCGAGTAAACAGTGACTGGAACACTAGATCAGCAGCTGGAGAATCAAGTGGCTAAGCTTCGCTTTTACAGCGAAGCGTAGCCCCTAGCGCACATCTTTGTTTGCCCTATAGCGCCTAATGGAATTGCAGAAGTGGGTGCCCAACTGTGAGGCCCTCAAAGGCTCACAGTACGTCAAAACGCAGAGTGGGTGCGAAGAAGTATCTTGACGATTTGCACCTGTTGGTTTCCTCTTCGNCGTCAGCACGCAGCTAGTAATTCACACTTTTGTGCATCTCGTCTACAGCGTGCGCCTTCCATTGTCACGGTCTTGCTGCGGTGTGCAGTGTGAACTCCCGTGCTATTACTCTACTGAGGCTTATTCCTGGGCACCAGCCGAAACGGACGGAGAAAAGCAGTGGAAGTCTTGACACTTCAGTTGTTCGCTGGACTAGTACTCATATCCCTTTTACTGCTGTTAAGATGCAGCGCCTCCCCTTCTGATGAGGAAAAGCAGTTGGTGTTGTCAACCAAAACCAACCTGCAGTCCAATGCTGTGTGCGAGTGCCAGAGGCATCCCTTGCTGAGAGACGCTGCCTAGGCTTATATCAAAATAGCACTGACAGGATCGCGCGAAGCTACCGCCTGCACAACCACGGCCAGTGCACCCAACACAGGAAGGTACGATCCCGTGTCAGCTCGATGTCATTATGCTGGAACGTCGGCGAACTTTCTCACAAGCGACTCAGGGCTAATTAGGGAAATATANTTGCAGTAGATCCACCAGAAGTGGCAGCATAGGGGTTACCTGCCACCAAAGTGATTTGGCAGCTTGCTCAAGAGCGCCCAGAGACGCTCGCCAGAGCACTTCTCACAGTTCTTCACACTGTAAGTTTTCGAAGGCACTTGAAGGGACTTTCACCCCTGAGTAATATTCGGCTCGCCTTGTATTTCCGCAAGAGCTGCCTGAGACCAGGAGTTAGCCCAGTCGTATTGAACCTTGTCGTTGGCTTTCACTTGCGGAATGATAAACCCTAGTATTCGCCTTAAGGTGTGTTTTTATCGTGCAAAGCACACTCTGCTCTGAATCGTGTTACCCAGTTGTTGGGATGCCATCTCTGTAACAAATTCCGCCAATTGATCCTCGGTCCATGCAGCACGCCAGCTCGGTGCACACTAGACTTGAAAGTAGAACCCACGAAAGTCCAGTGAACAAATAGAATCGACGAGTCCACGCTCTGATAAACAGAATTTTGCCCGTCCAAAGCTGATGCGCTCCCTACACAACGGCTGGTTCAGGTGCACCAGGTGTAACATCGTTGGGTGTGAGCGGCAGTGTAATGAGAAATTGTGGCTGTGTGTACTTCCTGCTCCTTCACTGTGGAGGCGACAGCAGGTGAATGCTCGTTGAATCTCACTGGCCAGGTCCCGAGAAACAGCAGATGTAAAGAAGCCACCAACAACTCACCCGCCCAGAACTGTCCCAGCGGTCCATCAAAAGGAGACCAAGTTACAGAAACCATTCAATGACAGGTTACCCTCATATGACTGGCAATTCCCATGCNGTGGAAAAGCCGGTGTCCGCAACACAGTGTCGGCAAACTGGATATACAAGAGGTTTTCGGTTGCGAGATGGTATGCTATTGCTTCGAAGATGGAACATCACTCGAAGTAGCTACGGTTCTTTCTTTCTCATCCCCAAGAGTTCTCTCACTCCTTTAATCATAAACCCTGCAGCTCGTACGTTTTGTGAAGTCGATTTGGCCCGTTCGAAGTTTGCGAGGTTGTGTGGGTCAGTGTCAACTTCCAATGTTAAAAACCCGGTCCCCGCGTTAGCCAAGAGTACTCCCTCCTCTAAAACTCCAAACAGAACTGGGCGGGGGTAATTGAAAAAATCCATTCCCGTTACATTCAGTCGCACACTTCTCAAGGCAGCCGCCTTAAATGCTCCACTGAAGTCCGCATTGGCGTCTCGCTGCAGTCGCTCACAGACCGTTTCCCTGAAAAGGCTCCATTCCACGCGTAGCAGCCTGAAGCAGTTGTACACATACTTAAAATGCAAAATTAACCAATCGAGAACCGCGCGCAACAATACAAATTGACCTTTGGGGCACAGACCGCTGGGAAAATGTTCCAGCACCAGGTACCAACAAACTTACCACTTGAAGTAACAGCTGTTATCGTTCATCCAGCAGTCGTCAATCTTCCCGGAGATCGTCATGACGGACTTCATTCTGCTGTAAAAAGAGACGGGCCAAATCCCGCGTTCATCACGATCCTGCTGAGCTTTTGTTCTCCCGCCACGAAGGCCTGACAGAGCGCCTGCCACGTATTGCCAATTGCTTGCACTAACATCTAGAGGCTTATTATACCCAGAACGCGGCTGAAGAAGAAGATACACTTCCGAGCCTACGCGGGGATCTCTGTCTTCAGAGAACACCGAGCCGCAAAGATGATCCAACAGCCCATAGCTTACGTGTGCTTCTGGGCATTTGTACTTAAATATTGCGGTGGCCCACGGCATTGGGTGGCCGAACCTATCCTTGTTCCACAAGGCAAGGTAACGAATTTCCGCCTCAATTTCCAGCTCGGGAAAGCTCCGACTCCACAGGGCTAGCCTCCTAAATATATTCCAGAATGGCACATCAGCCTTCCTGCGTTTGTGTTCTTCTTCCCATGCGGACAACATTTCGTAGTGAGCCTTTTCCATCATCGTGAGCCAAGAGCACAGCAGCCGCCCTGTGGTCTGAGTTTCCAATACTTCTCCCCCATCGACGGTTGACCCACCAGTCGGTGTCACAACTAGATTCCCAGCCTTGCCAACTCGGCAGCCCTCCCCGGTAAGGATCCATGACTGCCGGTGCACAACGCTGGAAGTATTCACGAAGTTTCCTTCAGGGGAGATGACTCCCACATCTGCTCTCCCCTCCTTCACAAGCAGGAGAATGAGGAAAGTACTTAAAGCCACAATGAAGTGGTCCCACAACATTTTCAACTGCGAGCAGATTTTGCCTCACGGATGAGATCCTCCAACGATATAGAATAGAGAAGAGGGAATAAACAGTCGTTATCAAGCATTTGGCGCTCATTCAGGCTTTCTACGACGAGAAGTCGGGGACTGCCTCCTCCCCAGCAAGGTTTGAAATCGCGATAACACGAACATCCCACGGGAAGGCGTCAACGTGTTAACCCACGGATATCACTATGAAGTGGCATCAAAGCGGTTACTAAACAGTGAGCAGTGGTTCCGTGAAGAACGAACCCCCGACATGTCCAGCGCTGCCCACAGCCGAGCCCCTCTGGGGCTGGGGCGAGCGTAGGCGGTGGTTCCCACGACGCAAGTGTTTCTCAGCATCAGAAACNGCATGTAGCTACATAGTTCCCTTCGGCGCCATCAGTGAGCCGGCTGGCAACACAGACATCGTCTTCTGTTAGTAGCGTGCCCAAGCAACTAACGAGTTTTGGATCAGTCGTCAGGAATTGCTAGATGTATGAGTATTTGTGTGCGTATCGGCATGAAACTGCATATTAGGGAGGCCGAAGGCGGCGCTTAACAATTGGCCACAGGGTTAACTCCAAGCATCGGAATGTACGTCTATCTGGTGTTGTGTAAAATTCTCTCTGGTGTTAACCCATGTATTTTCACTTTCCTGCACGCTGACTACTGAGAACGAAGTAAGACTCTAACAGTCCTTTACGCTGTCGGTGCCGGCATTCAAGGGGGAGCAGGAGGTCCTAGCGGGGGTCCTTGACCTTGACCATGGGTGGGAACTTTCGCAACCAACAACAGAACGAAAGCTCAAGATGGTGGTTCACAAAAAGCAGCTTACCTCTCTTCTAGTGCTCAAGCGTCTAGTGGCAAAAGGGCATGGGCCTACTGCGGAAAGAAGGCGACCAGTCATAGCTGCAGTGCGCCTTCCTGCGACTGATGCTGCAAGGCGGAGCCGCATCTAAGCGCGCGCCCCTCTGCCGCATGTACTGCCAATGAAGGCAATTCCTCAGCGTTTTCTTGTCCCTCAGTCGCCAAACTCCGCCAGCGGATATATACGTAGAGCTTCAAACAGATCGTTGTGCATTTCCAGGAACTCCAAATCCGCCCCCTCTCGCTCAATCAACACAAGCNAAAAAAATGACAGAGAGAGGAAGAGGTTTGCCTAGGTCTGCTGCTCCAGTTTTCTGCTGTGGCTTGTGAAGCATGGCCCACTGCCCAGAGGTGTAGCCACCCGCCGTCTCCGCTGCCCGCTGCCCTGCACCGTTCAGTTGGGTTAGGTGACAGTTCTGGGCTTATCAACCAAATAAAATATTACAACGGAGCCCCGAGAACGCGGGACACAAGCGTGCACATGGCCGCGGCTGTTGCCGACGCCAAAACATGGGAAAAGGCGGTCGTTGCCGGCGGTGGTGTCATGCTGCTTGACGACTAATAATTAGCATCACCAGACACATACTTAGATAGGGGCTCTTTTGGAAACGTGCCAGAAGAGCGGTGATCAAATGTTCGCATACGGCTCAGATTTAAGCTACTCTGTGACTACGCACTGCTGCTGGCCCGAGGAGGGCGTGTGGATGATCCTGAGGAAAGGATGCTCAACGAAAGCTCGGCTTCGTGAGCCGTCGTGAGAAACCGCCCTGCAGCCGGCCAGTATGGATCCGAATTCCCTCACATGATGGGGTGTTGTGAATCCATAACACTAGAGCTACTTCGGGCCCAGTGAGCTGATTACATGTTGGCCGAGCCGTCTGTCCCTCACATGCTCTGTCAAGATTTGGTAAGGCTAATGAGGAAGATTACGCTTCAGCGTAATATTTGTAGTAAACACTACATATTAGTGGGCGGTTCTTCTGAAAGACTACTGTGGGGCGCATCCTTAAAAAGCCACAGCTGAGCCAGCTGGCAAGCATTAGCTATCNTTCTGAAAGACTACTGTGGGGCGCATCCTTAAAAAGCCACAGCTGAGCCAGCTGGCAAGCATTAGCTATCGTACTGATACAACAACAGAACAAAGTAACAAAGGTTAAAGGAAATTACTTCCTTCAGTTTCTTTCCCAATATTCTTCTGTTCTGAAGCCCTACTAGAGCTGCCACTGCAACATTTGGGGGTGGGACAGGGGACGGCGAAGCATGTTGCAATACCTTTGCCCCAAGGCTCAGGACAGTCTCCCCTATAGTCATATACGAATTGTCACTTCGTAAAGAATGTTTAATGCATTCACCAATTTTATACTCAATGTACATCAATAAGCAGTCACAGAAACTTCCAGTGTTCATACAGCCTTCACTCATTTCACAACAACCACAGCATTCTTGTCGTGATTGTAGTGAGTATTCACTAGAGCAGGCATCAGTAAACGGATACACTCAAGTAAACTGCTACATACACTCAGATCTCTCATGTGATGCAGCGGCACAACAGAACTAACAAAGCTTAAAGGGGGCTTGCTCTTGTTTTTTCTCAATAAACATTGATAAGCACTCACAGACACTTCTACTGCTCAATCAACCGTCGCTTTTGCACGAGCCCGGCAACCCTGCTG